GGATGTGCGAGGAGGTTCGCTCGGCGCAACTCGAATATGGCTTCAAAGTCTAATCCAAAATGTATCACTCACTCAGCAAATCGCCCTGTTCTCTTCTGCTTCACTTTTCTCCCCTTTTGTATTCCCTATTCTCACTTCTATGCCTCTCATATTTCCTTTCAGCGCTACAAAAAAGAGACACATTTCTAAAGTTGAGAACCCTGATCCATAAAAAAAAAAGAGAGAGATTTGTAATACAGGTGGCTCAGTCGTGTTGCAGAGCAGATTTGCATCAAATGTAATATAAGCTTCCAGAATTGTGGGTAATGGGGCTAAAGTCAAGGGCTCTGAACATGTTTTATGGGTTGTGAAATGGATTTAACATGCTCTTAAGACTTAGGAAATAAGGAATTGAAGTCTTAGAGTTTTAGCGTAATAGTCCTCTCTTCTTTCATGAGTAAGTTGAGAAGATTGACACCACTCTTGTGTCTTCAAAGGCAAGAACAAGTTATGTACGCACAGTAGCTTCAAACTAACAGTATCATAAAGACTCAACTAATTTTACCAATTGTCAATTGTCCAATATCCAATATACAGTATAATATTATTTTATAAAGCTGTTATGGATAACAGATTAGCAACCATTTTGCATTCAGAAACAATGCAACTCAACACCTCAGGACATTTTGACACTGTTGGTCTCTGCCACCCCAACACTGCCATTCAGACAGTGAGTTGGTCCCATGTCAACAAACTAAATTGTCATAAGCACACAACTGAAAAGCTCTGGTGAGTCATTCTTCCCAATTTTCCAGACTAGGGTGGTTTTATGGTTGGAGAAAGCTGAAGTATGAGTCCTTAAGGCACGTTGCCAGCTGTTAAATACAGTGCTGTTTATGGGTAGGAATACTGCTTAAAAGCTGTTCTGAAGATCAAGCTTTTCCTGGATCAGAGATTCGTTGGTTGGTGTCATGGTCAGAGGTACTGTATTGAACATACCTCTGCTGATACTGTAGGTGCGGAATGATTTGGCTAAATGTTTGTAAGAGATTTTCTATCCATAAACATCTTGTGCCTGCAAGACTTAACGCCGAAGCAAATGAATTATTTCAACAATGCTGTCTAACCTTAGCTTGCAGGGATAATTACAATAGCCTGCAGTGAAACATTTAACATGTGTGTTATTTAACAGAGGTTTCATTACCATAACAACTGGAACACGATATTAACTGAAATAAAAAAGGAGGCTAATCCTGGTCTTTTGAAGCAGCTCCAAAAGACCAGAAGCATACAGTGTACAAATTGTTTCCATACATGTAATAATAATATACTTCTTCTTCATGCTGGACTGTGCTAAAAGAAATTGGTGGAAAGATCAATAAACATCTAAGCCTCTATCCAGCAGGAAAATACTTGTATCTCAGAGAGCTTCTGCACATTTTCTGGAATTCAAAAGAGAAACAATCAACTCTTAGAAAAATAACAAATATATAACATTTGCTCAAAGGGCTGGCATATCCATGCTTTAACTGTGCCTTCTGTCTCTTATATCGACACTACAGTAGGTGGAACAAATGGCACGTTTTACCATAAATGTAGCTGAAACTTTAAACAAATAATTTTCAGATGTGTTTGTTAGCAACATTTTGGCAGTGTTGTTATTTCTGTGGCCAGACTGTATCACTTTCTCAAAAGTTCCCTGCTTTCATAGCATTTAACAAATCGCTAAAGCAAATGTTTTTTATAGTAGCGATAATGATTTAGGAAAATATTTGAGGGACTCTAATAGTCGTAGCCTGGCTGTTTTCTTTCTCCATCCTGTCAAGTGGAGCAGAACAGCAAGTTAGATGCTAAATGTTGATCTGAAGAGATAAAGGCAGATTTCTTGAAGCATGGCTCTAATGTGCTAAACTGCTACTGCATAGATAAGCAGGAAAGTATAAACCTCGCAGACACTCAGCAAACAGCAAAATGCTCTCAGTGGTGGCTGAGATGACTTTGGTCATACTGGTATCTCCAGTGTAGCTTCCTCGGTTGGATAGCTGCCACGGTTACACAGTCACAGACGTCCTGACATGAAACAATCTTGAAAGAAATACTTGCAGGAAAGTATTTAATGTTCTTCATCACAGCAGCAAATTATTGCAAAAAGCAATATATATATATATATTATTTTTTTTAAAGTAGCTTTGATAGTATACTTAGAGCTAATTATGTCAGGGTGTATTCAAAAGTAATTCAAAAAATAATGGCCATATTTTAATCACACGTTGAGTTATTATACAGTAAACAGCCATGTGTCTTCAACACCTTCATCATATATGTGTCCTGCTGCCTTCAATACATTAAAGTTTATCAGCCGAAGAAAAAACAATTTAAAACATTGAACAATTCCACCGCATATGGAAAAACAGGCTGCGCTTTCGGCTCGCAGAAAAACGTGCTAACGGTGCGAAGACTGAAAACAACTGCAACTATGGTAACGGTTTTAAACTGAGGGAGGATTTTAGCATGGCTGTGAGTGGAGGCCATTAGCTAGCCAGTGGGATACACAGGACCTTAAGCACCAAGAAGCACATGCCTGGGCCGGCCACATAAACAAAGATCGAATTACAACAACCTAAAGAGGGGAAGCAGTTATTCTCTGCTCAGGACGCAATTACACCACTATATATCTACATGGAAAATATGTTTTTTGTTATGAAATGAATACTCTGAATGCCATATATAGAACCTTTTAAAGTATTGAGGATTGTTTTGGTGAAATTGGAACAATGAACCTTAGCTACTGTTTACATTAATTAACTATTCTAGTGTTGTATGCTTAGGGTTTAACTAATGGAGGGAAACAAAATGGAATGGATTCATGTCCGTGTGTTTCAACAGATTGCAAAATGACTGCTTGTTATTATGTTACTATATCTGAGTGAGTGTAGGATTGGCTTCAGTTAGAGGTAACATTAGACAGTTGGAAGCTACATGCAGACAGACAGTCAAAAGCCTATAAAGAGACAGAGACAGAGAGTCGGGGCTGGGGGCTGGAAGGTCAGCAGATATTTGGAGCTCTGACTCTATTCCCAATATAACTGGGTGTGGAGTGACAGCTGCTGTGTCCTGAAGCAGGTGGGCTGTGTTACATGCTTGAGTCACAGTAGGATGAAATGGACTCTAGAGTTTTCTGGTGGCAGAGGCTACTTCAGCGAATGTATAATCAATGTCACAACAAGTGTAAAGACACAAAACGGCTGCTGGCAGTCGGTAAGACACAGCCATTGTTGCTAATTTCCTTCATCTTTCCTTGGCATCTTGTCATCATTGTTTCTCATGAAAGAGAAGCAAGTAAGAAATTAATTGGCCGTATGGCATGTTTTATCCTGCTTCTTTGTATTCTTTTGTAACATAATTCATCCAAACTCTTTGGGAACCATTGAAATAGTCCAACACTTAACTGGAAAAATACCCCCTTCAAGGACATGTCATGGAAATGCATTGTTATTAAATAACAGTATATTACTTTGCTATTATTTAAGCGCGATGGAATAATTTGTTTTGTATTATCAAAGTTCAACTGACAGAAATCCATGCGACAATTGCTTAGCAACTGTTCTGCATCACTCAGAGCCAGGATACCATAAATACTCAGCTAAGTCTGAACAGAGCATTTGGTCCCTTCTGAATATTTGATTTGAAACTTCCATGTTCCCGACTATCCACACCAAAAAGGGCAAATATGTTGCATATCAGTAAATATAACCAAGCTTAGCCCTCTTCTGTCTTGTCACGCTTGCGAAGGTCTCCATGAAATATCATCAACACATGGGGATAAAGAGACCTTTGCAAAACCTGTGGAAGCACATTTGGGTTTGAAAAGTCTTCTGGAAAAAGCACAGCTCTGTATAGGTATAAATAAAGTGCAATTACAAAAAAGTAATTTCACTTTTATGAAAGCTATAACAAAGAAGCTCAGCAGGTTTTCAAGGTGAATTAAACGGAAGCAGTATAGAAGCCGAAATATGCAGAAATATAAATGTTTGGCTCATATTGGTCAAAAGGATGGATAATCTACGGGAAATAAGATAATTGACATGTAAATCGAAAAGATTGGGTCATTGTCCACAGTTGGAGAAAAAAGTTGTAACTATCAACATTACCAAGAACTTAAAGACGTAACATTTTCGAACTAAGATAGACATTTTCATCAAGGAATTGACACAAGGGTTGGATGTCAAACCCTGATTTTTTAAAAGATTTAATTGAATTTGTCTCAATAGACTCAAAACAAATACATAGTTATTTATACCAACTGAGTTACACACAGACTTGAGCCAAACAAGACCTTTTCCTCCAAAACACACACACACATATCATCTCCACAACTGAGCGCGCCACTCATCCCTCCCACCCAGAGCTGACCCAGAGTCAGTGTTGAGGCGCCCCTCCTCCCCCACAGTCGAACCCTGACAGTAGGCTGCAGTCTGTCCACATGCAGCTTCTTGTTACTTATTTATAGCAGCGTGTTCCCCAGAGGAACAAAGTAATTGAAACCAAATGTGTTGCCGGGACTGATATGGGGTAGTTGGGCGGACAGTCCACCCACAATTCTCCTTCCTCTGTGTATAGCCTACACACAGATTGAAGGAAAAGGGGGAGATTTAAAGCAAGCAGTCTTGGTCAACTATTTTCTTACAATTTAAAAGGAAAACAAAAAAGTTCCTGAGCTTTGTTTCTTTGCAACTTCTCAGTTCAAAACAAGTATTTTAATTGAAATGCTTCACTCTCAGTGGCTCTGCTTTTGTTAAGTATTCAATGTTGTCCTTGTTTCCCAATGAGCACCAAGTGGAAATAATTAAAACACATTTCTGCCAAAAGAAACAAGCAAACTGCAAGCGAAGAACCTAAAGCCTTAATTTGGTCCACTGTTTGAAGGAATAAGTAGCAGCACTCAGAGCTCAGCCCACTTCCCCGCCCACCACAGCCACACTTAATGAGCAGTCCAAACAAGGCAGTGAAACCAAACTTACCATATTTACTTGCCCTTATGGTTCCCTCTTTATTCCTCTCTTTACTTCCTCACACTGGGCTCCCGGTGACTCCTGCTCAGGGTCGAGGTGTGTCAGGCAGATACAACTGGGATTTAGTTGCTGTTAAGAAGCTGCATGAGGCCTTCACTGACCAAAGTCAAAGTTAGGCAGCCACCTCTCTCTTTCTTTCCCCTCCCCGCTGCCTTGCTCTCTTGTCAGCTTTTCCAATAACACACTCCTCCCGCCCCTTCTGGCCCCGTCCCTGAGCTGTGAGCTGTTTCCTGGACGCGTGGTGGACTCCTGTGACCCGGCTCTTTGCTTCTTTTTTCCCCCTGAAGGCTCTGTCTTGTTGCTCCAGCACTCTGAGTTGCAGCCCTGCCTTCCTGCCAGATTTAGAAGCAGAGACACATGTGGGCTTCTGGTTTGAAGTTTAGAGAGGCGGGACTTGTCTGAGAGTGTTTTGTTGTCATGACGACCCCTCCTTCTCGAACACTGTGAGCCCTGCCCCTGCTGTGTGTTGTGTATAAGGGGTGTGTGGATTTTGGGTTATTTTTTCTGTGTGGATTTTGTGACATACAGTATATCACAATAAGTTGTAAACAAAGTCTACTGTCTGGACATTATGTGTGTAACAGCTGCCACTGTTCATAGATGTGTGGAATAATGTGAACATCCTAATATTCAGAGTAAACAAGTTTTTCTCTAAATGCACATTCGATCTATCAAAGTGAATTACATATTCAAGTTTGCTATATATTTATATACAGTACGTTTACATTTGATTTAATCCTGTTCTTTTTTCTTATATATCTGATGGCTGTGAGGAATGGGGAGGATTTGTTTTTTGGTGTATGTAAGTGTTCTTGTTGTGTGGCTTGAGTTGCGTTTCTGCCATTCCACATCTACAGTAAATGAAAAACAAAAAGGAATGTTTGTTGATTCTTTTTTTGCATAATAATAATTGATTGAGTTGTATTTCGTATCATAAGCCAATATCATTTTGAGTGTAACAGGACATTTGGCTGTTTATGTCATATTTATAATTAAAAAATGTATTTGTATTTGATTTATAAATATTGATTGATTACTGTGTAATTAGTTGAGGAAATCGCTCAGATTTGTTTTGTCCTTTTGCAAAGATGTTTGACATTTTGAGGATGTTGTTTGCACATGAGGTGTGTGTGTGTGTGTGTGTGTGTGTGTTGACAGCTTTGGAAGGCACTGAAAAACAACCAGCTGTGTTTTGTTGCTCCAATGTATGAGAATGTTTTCTTTTAGTTGCTTCCAGCCAAGCAGACTTGTGTTCTCCCACTGAATATGATGTACCTTCAGGAAAATGATACCTCTTCTTGTACCCTACATTTCCACTGACTCACTGCAGACTGTGGGAAGTATATCCCTTCTTAGCTTGCTTTCAAGTTTCATGTGAAGCCCATTATTGAAGTCTCAAGTTATTGAAGTCTCAAAGTTGCATTTCTTGGATTGAATTCCAACTCAAGTCTTCAGTGTTGGATATTTAAGAGAGGTGCAGATTCAACTTCATGGGCTGTCAAAAAGGTGTTTCTTGTTTTTGAGTTGACCCTCAAACACTGTAAAGCTGAGTATTTATCATAACTTACATACATTTCTGTAACCGTTTGCTTTAGCAACATGTGGGGAATGGAAACATCTTGGCAGGAAAGTTCAGTAAATTATGTAAGAGCATGCATGTGTGAGTGCACGTGCACGGCGGTCAGCATGTGAGCGGGGGAAAGAGAGAAAGAAGCGATTTAAAGAATGCAAATTCCTCTCCTCCACTTTAATGTTCTGTGGCCTGACAGCGAGGGAGGAAAAAGCCTTACAAAGCTTCTCCTACAAAGCTCCACTTTCTTTCCTCTCCTTTCCCCTCTTGCCTCCTCTCTTCCTCGCTCCCACACTGATCCCTTTCTCTCTGCCTGCTTGTTTGTGGTGAGGCTGATTTTATAGGTTAGGGGAGTACTTCACGCTTTGATGTAACATCCAGCAGTTTCACAGCGCCTGCCTCTGATAAGAAAAAAGCAAGGTGCTTTATTGCTAAAAGAGGTTCAAATCCTTTTATTTGCCAATAAAACAGGTTAAGCTACATCATGTCCACGCCCAAAAAAAACTTTTGAAGCCTGGTTATTTCAACAATTGTGAGTTTTTGTTTGTTCTCTTTTACTCTTACATAAGCCACGATGAAGATGCTGCCACTTTCTCACTAGCATTGGTGGCTAGAACAAAGATATCAATAAATAAAAGAATAATAACACTCATTGTCTAACAGGCAAGGCGAGTCTGAATCTTAAGTGGGCAGTCGGGATGAAGGTTGCAGACACCAGGGGAAATTCTCCGTTGTTCCCAGGGCTGCGGCTGGCGCTCCACTTGATGATGTATTAATCAATAAATAAAGGGGAAATCCCTAATAGGCCTGTAGTAAATAAAGGGGGAACACAGGGAGGCTCGGTCTCATAATGAAGATATAGTGAGGGCAATATTCAGGGGAAGCGAGGCAGAAGATCACATGCACAGACCAATTTCAAAGAGTTTAACAGAAGATGAATGAGATTGTGAAGACATGGCAGCTGAGCAAAGCTGATGTGGAGGCAGATGCTCTAAAAAGACTCATTGTTTGAGTTCAATGTCAGTGGGTGGAGTTGGAATCTAATTCTAAAAAAAAACATCTCAACAGACTCATTTCAGGTTGAATTGTAGTACAGTACACACAGTTGTGCAATTGTTCATCCTTAAAATAAAATAATATTCTGCATGGCTAACAGGCAGTCTGGACCAGACAAACATATATATTATTATTATTATTATTTAATATTGTTGTAAAAGTGTATGGTTGTGTGATTGTGGGCTACAAAAAAATGTATTAAAAAAATCATAAAACTTTAGCTTGCACAATATAGCGCCGCATGATTAGGTATTTTCTGCTCCTTTAAAAGCATGGGGATCGCATAGATACACTTCAGTCGTTCATGGTTAACCAACATTATGATTGCTTTGAGATTTTGGGCTGAACTAATAGGAGTCAGGCAATGTTTGTATGTATGCTGTTATTACTGGATGTTGTCAGTGTATGTACAGTAATGCTTTAAAAGTCTCCATTCATATGCAAATGCATGTTTATAAAGATTAAGGCTGCTTTAACTTAAAGGTCCCCTATTATACACTTTTTCATCAATATATTATAGGTCTCAGATATATACAAAACATGTCTCTGAAGTGTTTGGTTTGAAATACCAAACAGATCATGCATTGTAGCATCCCATAATCCCCTCTGTTTCAGCCCTGTTTCAAAAGTGCTGATTCTCTGTCTGTTCTTTTAGAAGAAAATAAGGAGCCACTCCCCTCTGCGAGATATTTGGTTAAAAAGAACACAATGGTGCTCTAGGAAGAGATTCAGGTGATAAGGTGGGCAGGTGTTACCTTGGTTGGTTATTGGCTAATGGTTACACAAGCCACAACATCGTTATGACATCATAAAGAGGCCAAAATCTGATCAGCTCATTTTCAGACAGGTTTTTATATAAATGGATCAGGACAAAAAGAGAGACAATTGTTTTTCATGAAACTTTCAGAATCTCTTTACACAGAGGGGACACAAATGTTAAAAGACATGAACAAATTGATTTTTCATAATAGGTGACCTTTAAAGTATCCGTAATTGTTCTCAAGTCGGTTAAATCTAAGCAAACTCCATGTGTATGTGAAAACTGGTTGAACAATACTTTGGCATTGAGTCAATACTACATGTCTATGTGATGGTTTTGGGTAAGCCTGTCTCAATGAAAGTGTTACTTTAACAAACGTACTTTCCAGCACAAAAGGATTTCACAACTTTACTTTTTTGACTTGTTTTTCCAGAATCTACCTGAAGATGCTAGAAAACTCATCAACGTTAAGCTTTGTGTTGACCCCAGGAATATAAGCAACTGATGTTGCAGGAGCTAATGGGAACTGGAAAATGATAAGAATACTCCTCCTTGTTTTACTAGAAATGTGCCTCTTTTGAGTCTCCAAACATAGTTGCCAAAAAATCAGGAACAAAATAAATAAAAATGTACATGACGTTTGTTAACACAATGTTATACAGGCTGGTTTACTAACAGACTTCTCCCCATTAAAGTCAGGTTTGCAGCTACAGTTTTCCACCAACTCCTGCATCTTTGAGTATAGTTCAATCTGAGGTCACTTCTCCAGAACCCTTATGCTTCTGATGCTCCGCCTTTCGGATGTTTAATTCATCCAAATAGATAATTTCTGCGTCTGGGAAAGGTTTGAATAACAAATAAACCATCTATCTACTCTTGCCTGTTTTTTTGTGTGCCTCTGTGTAAATTCATCACTCTCTCTATGGATGAAAGAATACACAGGGAACATTACTTGCCATTCTCTATATTGTTTGCCCATCATTTGTCTCTCTGTCAGCTTCAGCTCTTCATCTGTCAGAGAGTCCCTCCAGGTATGTCTCTGTACGTCATCCCCGCAGTGATATATAATGGATGCTGTTGTTTGTATTGTGTTCTTGTGTGAATCATACCAAAGGCAGAAAATCCCCAACCTGCCCCTTACAGCCAGAGTGTCTGGATCATGCCAAGCCTGCTTCACTCTGTGCATGAAAACAGCCAATTACAGGCCCAGACTGTCCGCACAGCCAGTCCAGATGCAGACACCTTTGGTTGAATATGGATTGTTTCATGGATGTCATCATGAATAAATATAGTTATTTAATACAATTTCACTTTTTCTCTATTCTTTATTCTCTGGGTGAGTCCTGTTCTGCTTACATCAGGCAGTTTGGATGTTTTCTTAATTAAACAATTAACTCAAGTTCATCAAAAAGGCCTTATTGTTTTCCTCCTCATAACAATATCGGAATGATCAGATGCTGTCAAATATTAAAGCAACACAGACCAAAACAAAACAACAGAGCAAGGCTGAATACGAGGTGATTATCATCATCAGATGCAAAAGTTATTTGGAAATTGACTAAAAATCTCTTGTGGGGCCTTTTTTACAGTTTAATCTTATATGAGCACAATGCCAGAGGTTGTTTATTACCAAAGAAAATCTATATTTCCATTTTGGATTGTAATCATTTCCTCATAATCCAATTTATTGTTACCAATGAAAGATGATAAAAGAGTTGCAATAATACACCCAACTATAGCTATAAAATGATTTTAGTGTTCAAAGTGAGGCAATTATTATGTGAGTTGTATAGGACTGATATCTTGTCAATAGGCTTTAACCTTGTTACTCTACAAAATCTCAGGACGGAAGAGAATGAGGGGAGACAATAAAGACACAGAAACTTCGGGAGGATACTCGGCAGAGGTTAAAATATGTAAATAAAAGCACAAGTGTTTA